TAATTGCTAATTTTTGAGTAAAGAAATAGAATAATACTTTTATAAAAAATATTCCTTTCTTCATATTGCTCAGAAAAAAAATAAATAGGATACCTTATTTTTAGCTTCAAATTCATGAGAAGGTGGTAAAGTCATTTGAAATACTGTATGCAATTGATATTTGGAAAAATTCACTCTGTGATAAATAAAAATTATATGACTCTATGAAAAAAATTCATTGCAGTTTTTTCCAAGAAAAATTTCCTCAATGTTTTACATCTATCGCAAAAAAATATAGTAAAAACTAAAAATAAAAATAAAAAAATATATTTTATTTATTTTCATTTAATTTAATCTATACACAATCAAGTATTTATTTTTTAATTTTTTTGCTAGAAATTGTAATATAGTAGTTATTATTTGATCATTCGATCAATTATCAAAAACAACCTTTTGAACATAGATATAATATAATAGCTTCATGATATTATTCTCATTATGTAAACTTAACAACCAATGTCTTGAAATATTTTTGATTAATCTTCAGATAGTCCCAATACTTTTGCGCTATATCATAATTTTGAATGTACTTTTCTTTTTTTCTTGTCACGAAAGGAAAAGTGTCATAATTGCAATTTCAATGATAATAGGAATTCCTCTTAAGAGTCAGATGGATTGTAATACATCATTAATAATCTATACTAAGCTTTACTAAGCATAATTACCAATTTTTACATATGCATGCATATAGTTCCATCAAGCAACGCGTAAAAGAATATTCCTTACGCTTCATTTGCATTCCTGTCTATAATTACATCATATTCCTTGCACTTATAAACTTTTCTCCCTCCAATATTCTGTATGTTTTCACATGCAAAACATATTTTTGAGGTATAAGCTTTGTATGATCATTTTCATACCAGTCTCATCAGCTTTGTGTTTTAACTATTGTCAGAATGAGTAATGTGACTATGTTAATATACTTTGCATAGTTTTTGAATTGATTTTTCTCTTTTCTCGTCTCATTATGTTTGAAATATTAAATTCAGATATAATAATATCATAATTTTTTGCAAGATAATTTACAGTTTTCTTGTATAATTCGTTTCTCAGATTCTGGATCCTTCTAAAAATTCTTGAGATTGCTTTATCAATTCTCTCAACCTTCTTTTTCTTTCTCTTAAAACTTGAGTTCTTAAGCTTGTTCTTTACCAAACTTAGTTTGTCTGCATAAGCAAAGTCTCACTAATCTCTACAAATCATTCTTACCAACCTCTGTAATTCTTTTTATAGATAAATACATTACAAATGAAGTTCAAACTCCTGGATCGATAGCCACAAACCTCTCATATGTTTCTTTTGATTTTTTTGTCTTTCATATACCCACAATAAGATTTATTCATTAGTTTTTCTAAAGTATGTGAGTTTGCAATCATGATTAATCTGTTCTGATAGCCAATTGTTATTTTTTCTCTTGGTCTCAAAATGCAAAACTCCTAAATTTCTTGATCCTTCCAGGTGATCATATGGTTTCTTTCTTAATGTTCTCATATAATTAGTATTTTTGAATAGATATGATATGTAAAATTTATTTCAATATTTTTTTGAGAAATTTTGTGCACGTATGATGTGCTTTAGATCTTTCCTGATCTTGAACTTCAATCTGGTTTTGTTATCTTTTGAATTGAAATTTTTAACAGCTTCATCTACAGTTTTGTCAATTAAGTTATTTGACATATCTTCATAAGTTTTCTTATTCCTCAATTTTAAATACCCAATCCTTCTCAGGAATTTTATATTTGAAAAGTTTATCATCTTCTTACATTTATTTCCATTTTTATCTACATGTACAATCAAAAACTGTCTTTTCTGCAAATAGTTAATGATTGTATTATAGGTCAATCTTGACAGCCCTATCTATCACTTCATTATATGTTTTTGTGCAAGGTTTGGGTACAATTTTACTTTCAATGTTCTATTCACATTTTCATCCTTTTTTCTTCTTTTGTTTTTTCTCACTGTTAATATTTTTTTTCTTTTCTTTTCTTTTCCTTCTGTGTTTGGCTGCTCTTCTTCCTTGCAATTTGTAGACGAAGACGTTGATGGCAAGGATATCTTTGGACAGCTCATGTCTGTCAGTTGTTGAATCATCGAAGAGAACCACAAGTTTTGTAAAGTTGAGTGAGAATTCGTGTCTGAGGAATTTGTAGGTGAACCTGCATAATCGATCATGGTGGGTAGCTACAATCTCTCTGACAAGACCTTCACATGATTGTTTCAGTAGGGTTTACAGTCCTTTGTATTTGAAGTTAATTCTTGACCTGATATCACTGAAGAGTTCATAGGTTGGGAACCAGGAGCTGAGGAGTTACTTCTGCCACTCAAGGTCCTCTTTTTGCTTGACACTAGAAACCCGAGCATAGAGGAATCCTTTTTTGGTGGCGGTGGAGGTGGTGGTGGTGATGGTGGTGGAATCCACAATACTTGAGACATCATAAAGTCGCACACCACCGGTGAACGAAATGCTGTTATTTTACTGTTGCAGTGCCAACGACAAAGTGTACACAAGGAAACACCAAGGATGGAGTAATGAACATTAAATAAAAAAAAAAAACTTTAATATTTTGCGAAAGGTTAAGCTTTTTGAAAGTTTATTTGCGAATGGAATGCAATAACATTAAGAAATTTTTCAATCCCATTCGTAACCAGTAGTAACACATAAGGGGAATTAAAAAAAAAAATTTTTTTACTACCGAACAAATTCCTGTCCCAGAATACATAATAATAATAAAAAAAAAAAAAGATTAATTATCTTTATACTATTTTAAGCAGTTTAGTTTGATAATTTTCAGTTAATATTACGATAAGCAATACTAAGCTATTAATAAGCAAAAATTTGCTACGGTATCAGTACATATTGGGATCGTCATACATTAGGAATAATTCGTTGCATTTCATACTAAAAAATAAATTAATATCGTCATTTGAAACGTCAGAGCTAATTTAGTTCGATCATTTTATCAAAAATGTTTATCGGGCTCAAGAATGCTTTTTTAAAAAGATCTTGTCGAAACCGGTTTAGATTGTTAAATAAAATCCTTTTGTTTCTTATAACTAACTGATTTTTATAATTATATTATAAATTAAATATTGAATTATCTTGTTCGTGATATATAGATATTTAAATTCGGAGAGTTTAAATTGAATATAAAGAGCGTAAAAAGAGTGTTATTGATTTTGGAACCTGTTTCAACCCGATATCTACGGTATATAGTAGGAGGAAAATACTTTTTTTTTTATATAGTTTCAAGTTGAAAGTAATAATCTAAAATGTATAACATAAATCTATAACAATTAAGTATGCAAAGTCCATTATTACAGTACCTAGCTGAAAGTAAAACTTTTTATTTCCAAAATACGATCTATTGTTTTTTGAAGAATACTTCCATGACGAGAATGAAAAGATAGTTTAACAATTTTATACAATATTAAACGCGGCCCATCCTGGTAAACAATATTCCCCATTCATATATCCAATTCTTTAATTTCTTTGTAAAATCAAAGACTCTTCCTTTTAGATAATTTTTCATAAAGTAGTAAACCTAATTTCAATTTTAGAATTTATCCACTTTTTTATTGGTCTATCACGTAGTCTTTTATATTCGTAAAGATGTCCTTTATTTATTGAATTTTGGTGTTGACTGTCTTAAATATTTTCGTAATTGATTAGTTGGTATCTGAAATGCGGATTCATATATTATTATACACTTAATATTGGAAAATTCTTATTCCTTGTTAAGTTATAGTGAACGAGAAAAAAAAAAAAAAGACTTTATCTGGTATCAATATTCATTAAATTAGATTTTATTATTTTGAAACTTTGTTTTTAACACTCATGATGCAATTTTAATAAAAAAAAAAAAAAAAAAATTTTAATACGTTCAAATGTACGTTTATAGCCAGTAAGCCAAATCCATTCACGACAAACAATAAAATGGTTATTATATATATATATAACGGTTATAATAAAATTTTCAAAAATTTAAAGCAAAAATTCTTGAATAAATAAGCTTTGATCTCAACATTTATAAAATATATATTTATATAACATAAAACTGATAATAGAAAATTCTGTTATAAATTACTCTCTCACTCAATAAGTACAGAATGTGACAATCAATCAACTTTGAATATTTTTGTGTCTTTATGATTTTTTCCTTGTTGAACTATCATTTCTAAAATCAATTGATGAAAACAATTTGAAACTTGTAATTAATGAAATAATATCATTCGGTTAACAAAAGAATTCATGTAATTTGAAGTTCCCTAGCATCTAGATCCCACTTTATATTCACCATCAATAATCTTTTTTTTTTATCAGTAAAATTTGATATATCAAAACTCAGCTCAAATCATCCAATGACCGCCATTAATACAGATCTAATCCATGTTTAATAATTTGATTTCAATAATCTACCGGTGATCGGGATTTTATTATAAACTTAATTTTATTGAGATGTCTATATGAAAAAAATTGTACTTGCATATGATTGATGAGAATATAGAAAAGTGAATAAATATTGAACGTACTGTAATTTTTTTTTTCTATTGAAGTCATTCACATAGGGATTGGAATGAGGTCGCTAATAATTATTATGATATCGAATTTCAAATAATCTATCGTTCAACTTTAAATTTTCTATATTATTATTACTTAATTAACTTTTTTTGTTTTGGTCTAACAAATCCGATCAATTATTTTTGTTTCACTTTATTACCACGAATCATAATGTATCGGTAAGTTAAAGAATGTCTATGATTACAGCATTTGAAAATACCATAAAATGGAACTAAAGGTTACGTAGCTTTAAACCTTAAATTTGAAATATGATAATAAAAATCTAACTTGCATTATCGATTCTCCGAATTATTCAGAGATTATACTAAAATTACAAAGAATGTCTATACGTATGGACTATCAGCGTCCAAACGATGATATTTAATATATTAAGGTACTATGTTTAACTCTTTGTTGATGAACCTTGATAAGTTGGATCTATAAGAAGGAGGAACATCAAATCAGTTTAAATAAAGTTCCAAAAAAAAAGAGGAAAGAAAAAAAATTTTCTCTTCTACTTTTACCTTGACTTGGGTAAAGAAAATCAGGCGATGCTTCGCCAGGAGGTGCTGGGATTTGCATGGATTCAAGCGGGGGAAGAATAATATTTTGAGAAGATTCCGCTTGCACTTCAGTCTTAGGTCCAGTAGGTCGAGGTCTTCCCCAAGCGATTTTCAAAGCATGCCCTTTTATGTTTAAATTATTATGAGATTGATCTATCGCTTGTTCAGCAGAAGCTCTAGTTGCATAATTCACGAAAGCGCATCGTGACTTGTGTACTACAACGACTGATTTAATTTCTCCAAACGCATAAAAAAAACCTCTAAGGTCAGCCTCGGTAATGTCATCTTCAATCCCCGTAATAAATAGTGAAGTCTAAAAAAAAAGTATAAAAGAGGTAATGAATAAATTGGTCATAGTAGTTAATGAAAACGCGGGAAACATACGATGGTTTTATCTTCTGGTGGTATAATATTTGAATTACCACCACCTTTTACACGATTTAAAATCTTTTTTGCAACTGGGTCATTTGTACCATAATAACGATCTTTGATATTTTGATGAGATAATTCATTTTCTTCAGGTATCTCGTGTCTAAAAAGATATGCAAGTTTTAATAATAATAGTAATCATAAATCTAAATATTGATCGACACCTACCTATACGGACATTCATCACCACGTGTACATGTCCCCTTAACAAAAAATGAACAAATATGTGGTCGATTACGTTTATAATAAGGTTCCGTTCTAGCAAGCTTCTTTAACATTTCTCGGCTAGCTGAATCAGCTTTGCCATAATTAATTAGACTGTCACCACCTTCGATCTATCAAAAATTAAAATTTATTTAGTAAGAATCAAATTAAAATTTTTTTTTTTTTTTTTTTCAAGAATATCCGATACCTTACCTTCCCTTCAATATTCTGAGCAAAATATTCCCTATTGATTTCAGATCTAGGTGCATCATTAGTAATATTAAGAGCTGTATCCCGGACTTGTACGGGGAGATTATATTGTAAATCCAATAAACATGTCTGACAAACATTTTTTAATTTAGCGCAGGTTTGACAAATCTCTGTTTTTTTGTATCGCATTCCAGCTCCGGGAAGCCATCTAAAAATTGTAAACGGACGAGAACAAACCTGAAATAATAATTAATTAATTTTTATTTATTAATTATCAATAAATAATAAAAGTATTGAGAGAGGCGCACTTACTTTACATTCTTTTCCGAATCCTTGTCTTGTCTGAATATATAAAATTAGAAAATGAGAATAAGAATGAAATAAACTTAGAATACCTTGAACTTCTTAATAATTACATACTTACCATTCGAACGTAAGGGTTGTCGCCTAGACAAGTTTCGCAAAGAATTGGAAATTCCTTTGAAAGAGCGAATGGGTGGGTAAGCGATGTAAAACCGCAATTCTTTTTCTTATTTTTTTTTTAAAAAAAAAAAAAAACAGTGAACTTACAGATTCTTCCCAGCCCTGTTTATTTGGATCTGCTTTAGTGGCCATTTTGCTTAAAAAATTTAAAAATAAACAATGGAATTAGATGCAAGGAAAATTTATATCAATTTACATGTGGCATCACGTGATTAGCGTTTAATTATAACTACTCAAGGAGGTTCCTTAACCTGTACCCCGGGTGTAAGTCTTTATCCTAGACGCCCTTTTTCTCAAATATGATTGGTTTAAACCACATATTTTTGTTAAAATTTTAGAAATTTTTTTAAAATTTTTTTTTCACGCTTTTAAATGAAAATATTCTGTATTTTCATTATGAGTAAATTAATTCATCACAGGCGCGATATCATCGCCTCCTTTTTGTCACCCGTGTCACACCCCTCCCTTTTTCATTTTTCATATATATTCCGAGGACAGAGATCATAGGAGGACTTTCACGTGATTCGCCGATCTTATTCAATTGCGGAGAACATTATTTATACAGTTTAAAGTACTTTTTGAGAATGTAACGTTTCACTTATAAAAATGAAATTTTTTTTTATTTTCAGCTTCGAAAGTGTGTTAACACTCACTGTGCAAAATAATCCCAAGATAATTCAAAATCTAAAGGTACTTTACTTAGAAGACAAGTATGCTTACTGAATTATGTGTAATTACAATATGCCAAACTAAGCAGTCAGCACGGTGGAAAAAGGTAACTGAGTACGTTATTGCAAAAGGTCAAACTAACAATACTTTGCCAAGATATCTACAAATAGGTGACGTGATTTGCTTAAACTATTATAATAGAATTGTAGTAAATTGTTCGCTTGAATTTCAACAATATGCTCTGAAAGCTTTACCTTTACCTCTAACTCCGCCTCCTCCTCTGCCTTCGCCTCCAGCACCACCACCTTCACCCTCTATTTTGTCCCTCTCCAAAGCAGTAGAAACAATGACTAATGTCTTATATAATTGCGAAAATAAGGAAAAAATGCCAACGTTATACTCATTTGATAAATTTCGCAAAGTTATGGAAGAAAATAATGCAAATTTGAAACCCTTTTTTGATGAATTGTATTTATCGTCTAATCCTTCTTCAAAAAATAGAGATTCACAAGAACGAGCAAAAAAACAGCTCTTATTTGTATACTACTTTCTCTGTGGGATTCAGAACAAGTTTGTTAATAATGCTAAAAATGACTTGGCGATGTATCTAGATTCTACAGGTGCTTCTGATACTTCTATAAATACCCTTGCTGATTTAAGTATAACTACGACATCTCGCACAGTTTCTTGGTATAAAATAACCATATCTGAAAAATATGTCAAGACTGTCAATTCAGCACTTGCTGAATGTTGTCAGCGTTGAAAATTTGCCCTAGAAAAATGATTTACAAAATCATTAGATTTAATTTTATGTAAATCATATTAAGGAAGATCTTGATCAACGTATTGCATTAATTTGGAGGATTTGCAAAATTCACCTGATTCGCCTGTTTTTTCTATATTTTCTATACAGCCTGT